ATATTACTGCCTAAGTGAAGTTGAGTGTCTTTCCCTTTAATTGATGTGATGTCATGAGTCAATATAATTTCCTGTTCTGTCTCCTCCTCTTCCTCTTTGCACTGGTGATGCAGTGAGAGGTGAGGTTATTTTGGGCTCCTGATAATCATCTTTAATCGTAATCTTAATTGTTGCTTTTATGTCTAAATTTTCATTCTAATTCCTGTGTATAATGTTATTTTACTTATCTGTGTGGCTATTTTCGTAATTTTGTCCAGATTAAGTGATGTTTAACATCTGGGCCTAAATGTGAAATGAGAGCACGTGTGACAAGTGTACATCTCATTTGTTTTATAGAGCTAGAGAGGGTGATTCTCACTAAGAGGCTGATTACATTTTGTTTGTGCATCAGGTATGTCTTCTGTTATATGTTTATGTTTTATATGCATTTTATTGTGATTCTTCCTCTTTGCACTGGTGATGCTGTGAGAGAGCTAGAGAGGGCGATTCTCACTAAGAGGCTGATTACATTTTGTTTGTGCATCAGAATAAAAGATCGCTGAAACTGCTGAGTCGTGTCCTGTTCTTCTCACGTGAATGAAAAACACAACGCAGAAAAGAGACCTGGGCTGTAACCCGGATGAGCGGCCATTATGGAGGCACTTGGATGTAAACAACAGCATCGACTGCACAGTTAATGTACAACTGAACACATTGTTACACAAAAAAATCTGTGGTAGATGCGAACTCATATAGAGAAGGACCTTATTCATTTGCATAAAGATGGGCATCGGCCAGCTTTTTGACGCGCTGCATTTTTTTCAAACGTAGCGCCGCCTGGATGCTTTGCGGAAAATACGTAACATGAACGCGCTTGCCGTCACATCCGCAGACAGCGCGGGAAAAGTCCGACCCGTCAGAAAATTGGAAAAATAGGATACAGGCTTATAGGTGCATCCACTGTGAGCGGACAAGGTGTCAGCATGCTCATCAGGAGATGTTTGAGTCATAAATGTTAAAATAAAAAGGCTATTGTTATGTTTATTTTGGGGAAAAAGCTGCATATAGCCTCTTTAAAACACGGTTATCTTCAAGCATGAAATAACAGTAAAATATCCTAACAGAAACGTTAAATATTAAATGTTCAGATACAAATCCCTTTATGGTAAACAAGCAATGTTGGGACTGAGGATTTAAGAATGGGAAATGAAAGGTAATGTTATATACAGCAAATGCAACAGCACTTCCATGAGTTTCCTTTCATATTTCCTTTGTATATATATATATCCTTTTTTCTCCTTCCCTCATTTTCTCCTTTCTCATTGCACTTACTAATTGTAAGATAGCAAAACATGTCCATTATGCAAAGCATGAATGTTACTGCAGCAGCACAGTCCACATCAAACACATTACATACTGTAAATATAAAGATGAATTAAAAAGAACTTTTTTACACACATTGAAAAATAGTGATTAAGATTCAAACCCTTTAGCAAAATGAGAAATCAGGCACT